AGGGAAATTTTAAAAATTATGATTTTGAACGATGGAACCCAGGAATCTGCACTAATATTGTGCCACAGAATTCACACTATTTATATACCGCACAAAAACCCATGAGCATAGTATATCTATCCTGGATTATGTAATCTAGCTTTTGATTGACACCAGATGATTGTTTCTGGGATTTAACCGAGTTAAGGACGGCTAATTAAATATCACCAGCGCGTGTTTAAATTAAATTTAAATAATAACTCAACTTCCGAACGTTTCTCGGCTTGCCAAGTCCATGTTTGACAACGTGAAGGTTGTGTGCTGCTGCACACTGAAATTGCTGGGTAAACGTTACACGATGAGAATTCAAATGTGATGGAATCCACTTCCTTTCTAACAATGACGAAGCGTTCGATGAGCTTGGTTCTTTGATGAGTAAAATAATAATAAAAATATCATCTATTATTCAGTCTGAACGTCTTTGAAGAACTTTTTATTATTTTTGAAAGTCATTTTCGAACAGCCCAAAAGCGGCCGAGCCACATCGCCCGAGGGTGCACCGCGGAACGGTTGAGGCCTCTAAGGTTGAATGTGAGAAAATGGGCCAAGAATCTTCCGTTTAAAGACAGATCTGCTTTGCTGCCAGCTTAATTTTGTAGTTCAGTTCACGACTTGCCTTGGAAAGTATAGAAGCGTCGACGCCATTGCAACGACTTCAACAACGGCAAATGTTGGGGCGATATTAAGGCCGGTGGAAGGTTTGTCGGAGAAGATTCGATGCCCAAATTACATTAGTGCACGACCCAATGCTCACACCACCCCCTCTGCTAAATACAGTGCAGCCTCTAATCCACGGCATTCCCGATTCAGAGGCATTATTGAGCAGTCCAATTCAAACCCAACGGCAAACTATGGTGGATGGAAGCAGCGGACTCCACTTAAAAACAACGTCGCACAGACTGCATCCAATTTATCACCGACACTGCGCGAGCGCCTTGACTCCACGTTCGTTGCTTCTTGTGCAGACTCCGGAACAAAAACCCACAGCGATCCACCACCCACCAACCCACCAACCCACCCAAGCTCCGAGTGAAAGAGCACACAATAATGCGGAGTGCCAGGCAACGATCTCGAAAAAGTGTAGCGCCCAAGCTGCACTGTAAATAGCCTCATTCCCCACAGTTTGCGCCTCTCTACGTTTGGATGACAAGTACTGTATCCGGATCAATGATTTTATTACAGAACACGGACAAATTATTAATAGTTTGGCCTATGTTGTCTGATTCGGGATTGTAGGGAGTCACCAGCGGAATCCAACACTACGGCACTCCGTGGCGCGACCTGCGGCGCTCGCTCCTCTAGATTCCTGTCAGTAACAATGCTTGGCGTCCGTGTGAACCATCTCCCACACTCGTCCCTCAAACTTGTGGGATAAATACCATCCTGGGGTCCTAATTCACTGGGTGATATTTGCGTGTATCCTTTCATTGTATATTTTTATTTCAAATATTGCAGTGGAGACTGCAAGTGCTGGACACCATTGTGTGTGTGGTAACTAGACTCTCACTAAAGTGAGGTCCTAGTTTTGAATTGTGGCGCTAGTGGAAATGAAGCACCCTTTTCTTTGCTGTTGTTTACCATGATAAACAGATTGGATTTTCCCAAATTATTGATTTTGATGCACGTGTATTGCAAATGTTTTTCATACTTAAAAGGAATGAATTTTAGGGTAGTTTCTTAGGTGTGAACTTTGAGCACCTCCTCTTGCTCTAGAGTAAATAAATGTAAATAAATAAAAACATGTAATTCTATCACATTCTTGCTCCAAAGACTTTGAATTCATTAGATGAAATCTGGTATTCAGTAAAAGTATATAACATGTTTTTTGTAAGTCATGTTTGGAAAGTTTAGTAAGGGTTTAGAGGAAAGGGTTTTCACTTTCTGTTACAGTCAATAGTTTATTCAGATGTTACAGAAGATGAAATGAAACACAACGATCAAATGGAAGCTTGTGGAGATTATTTAATTGTACTTGTACTGAAAGACTGTGCTAATATCACAACATAATAATGAACAAAGGGATTATTGATTGCCCTTTTCAAGGATAGTGAGAGCATCTTAAAGAAAATGATTCCTCCAAAAAGTTCTTTGCAACTGTTGGATCTTTAGTCACACTCATTAAGTACAGACATAATCAGGAAACCATATTTAATTCTGATTTATAGATGAGAGTGAATCAAATGTTAGACAGGAGATACCAAATCTGTCAATGGAAAATTCTAAAAGTTGATTAATGAGAATAAATCATGATTCCAGTTTGAACAACAAAAATCAAATTAACATTATTTCTTATTTATATATTAACCAAAAATTTAATAAAATTTTGGACTTATTCACCAAGTGTAGACACAAAGTGGGCTCAAATGTGTCTTTCAAACTATTCTCTTACAATTTTTCCAGTTTCATTTTGATTAATCCTTTTTCAAAGATGTTTGCTTTTTTAAATCCCCATTAATCTTTCAATTTGCTCATTCAACACATCTTATTCTGTAGACTCTTCCGACTGTGCAAAAGTCTTCTTCTGCAGTCTTCATTTGTGAAGCTTTTTGGGCTTAGTTTCAATATCCTCATGTTAAAGTGAACCAAATTTCAGAAATTGTTTTTTGATGCCTCATATGTGTGTGTGTATATATATATATATATATATATGCACACATAGACATGTTCCCAATAAAGACAAGGTTTAGCATGATTGTAAAACTTGGGAAAAAAAAATTAATTTTTTTTTTCATTCTATTTAGTTTGCAAGTCATTCTTGGGACTGTGTCAATGGCAGTTTTCTCCCACCCTAAAGCATGAAAATTTCTTGGTCTTGACCTGCATAAAGTCCTAGTCTATTTCACTTCATTTAGTGGACAGTGTGGCTATTCATTAATTCTTTCAATTATCTCAAACTTGAAATGCCACTGAGCATGTGTGATAAGAAAGGCAGGAGCTATGGACAATATATCCAGAAATTTTCAAGTTCTGGTGCCTTATGTTTTCTTAGAGGACCTTGGGGAGAAATTATGGATGGAATGTGGAGTAAGGTAACAAACCATTTCTCAGAACTTAAGCATTTTAGCATATATCTAATAGATGTAGAAATAGAAAAAAATTACCCTCATGTGGGAAAATAGAAATCAAAAGGATTCCAAGTGTTTTCACACAATATGGTTCAAAAAAAATATTGATATGAATATTAGGGCTTTAGATTCTCATCAACCCATTGGGAACATGTATGCCTACCTAATTTTGATGAGTGGTAGGTTACAAAACCAAGAATCCAATTTTAATAAAACAATGATGTGTGGCACTTAGTAATGATATCATGAGAAGTGTGGCATCTAATTATACTATTAGTTTATCCCAACCAATTAACAACTACCATCTATTAATAGTTAATATGTATCTATTCTAAGTACAATGAATTTTATTTATTGCTCATAGCTTAACATTATTTTAACCACCCTGTGACCTATTTTTGATCCATAAAATGTTAGATCTAGTGGTCAAACTTTTGGAATCAAGTAGGCCTATATGTTGGAAATGGAGGAGGTGGTCAATAATGGATTGGCTACCTTAATGCCATATGAGTCTATCTAAAAATAAACTCCAAGATTTGTAAGTGATCACAAAATAAGTGTAGTTTTTAATTAAGTTAAAATCTTCAAATGTGCATTTTTAAAATAATATTATTTCTATGAGAAGAAAGAAAAATTTCTAAAAGTTACTTTCATGTTTTTTTCTTAAAAATATGCAAATTTAAGGTTGTGTTATATGATAATGATACTTTACAATGCAAAGCCTATATTCTTTCTCCTCTAACAATTGTTTTTTTTTATCCAATGTAATGGTTGATTTGGCACTTTCAAATAGTTACAAAAGATTTGAAATTTATACTCAAAAGTCTTGTAATAATAATGTATAATGTTATAGTATTCTTCTAATCACAAAATAAGATGAAATTAATTGCACATAAATCTATTACATAATTACTAGTCTAAACAAATTTTTTATTTTTTATTATAACTTATTTTGATAAGAATTGCATTACTTTTGATTATGTACAAATAGAAAATGCATTATCTTTAAAGGATCAAATTGTATTAAAATAAATATGTTTTATATTACAAATCTTTAATTTAATAAAATTATCTCCTTTGCTTTGTAAGTAAAAAAAAACTTCTTCTCATTAGTATAAATAGTAATTATATTTATTTTATAACATAATTATTATATAAAAAAACTATGATTATGTAATAAAAAATCTATGATTTCATAATGTAAAATCATCAAAGAAATTCATGTAACAAACAGGGAGTTGCTAAAGCAACATCCCTATGTTAGAGCAAGACCTCCTTGAGTTCTCTTATCTCTTGTCCCCTACTTCCAATCCTTACCCCCCCCCCCCTTTCCATTCACTATGATGAAGAACAAAGGACACATGGTAGAAGCATGGACAATAGGGAAGGAGGCATCTGGACAGGAATGGGGGATAGGGCTGGAAACAACAGATGAAAACAAGGAGAGGGGATGGAGAATAGACTTAATTGATCATGAGAATCCAAGGTGTGCAGTTAACATAATGGGAGTGTTTCTTTACCAACTCCCTAACAAATATTATCCTGATTGATTTCTCATTTGTCAATACTAAAATACAACATACAATGACACTTGAAGCTTCACGTTCCACTTGGCCAGATAATACTAGAACTAACTTATAAATGAATAAACAGAAAGTGAAAATTCATTAAAAAGATTATGTGACGAACTAGTTAATGCAATAAACTGAAGGAGTCCAGACGCTGATATGGCTCAAACAGAAATGATACTCACCACTGAAAAAGTGCATGATCCTACAAAATAATATCCGAAAAAGACTCCTACACTCAAAAGCGATAGATGGAAATGAAGGACTTCTGCTCCGTAAACAGAAGCGATTCACAGAGGAAAAAAACAACCCAAGAATCAAAATGGTATTCTTTAAATCAGATCCAATAACCAAAAATTTATTGAAGATAGAGAAGTCATCAAAAGAATTCAAGTTTACGCCTAGATTAAAAACTTCAATGATATTTTGATAAATACAGCTACCTCCCCTTTAATAGTGGCAGTGCACTACATGCAGTGCGATCCTAAAGATAGAGCACAGAGGATTCCATCCATATACACTTCTCACAGTGGCTTTATTAAAGGATATGTTACAAGGTTATCATAACTGAGTTCTTATCTACTTCACCAGTCGCGTGCCAGATGCAATACACCTCACACCCGAATCTTGGAAAATTGGATTAGCCTCTCGACGCTCTCGCTTTGGAATCGTCTAAGAGTAGTGCGGAACGAATGTGCCTACGTACCCGAACCCCATTATCAGGAACGCGCACGACTGCAAAAACAAGTACACGTAAAAGTGGTTCTTCCCCTGGAAATAGAAGTCGTACACAGCGCAGAACATCAGGAACCCTCCCGTCCACAACTCCAGTATGTGCAACCTGCCACACCAACATCCAACACCATCAGCACCTCCGCACACACATCAGCAACCCCTCTGCTCCATCTCCCAATACCAGCTCACACTCCACTCTCCTCATCCCCCCGACCCGCACCCATGCACCCACAATCGTTTCGCCTCACCTCTCCGACATCTTCCATCCCCTGGCCAGCATGTTGCTCGCCATCCTCTGCAGCGTGTACTTCTTCCCGTACTTGGCGGACCTGTACTTCATCAGGTTGCCCAGCTTCTCCGTCACCACCCACTCGTTCACGTTCCCGATGTCGAACAGCCCGATTATCGTCGCCTTCGTCCGGTGCAGGGACATCACGTTCTCGAACAATATCCAGAACACCAACAAGTGCAGAGACCTGCACCACACCCACACAACCACCTCGTCAGCCACTCGCCGCATCACCACCACCACTATCAACCCCCTCACTGACCCCCTGCTGCTGCTACCATCCATCAACCCCCGTCACCAGTCCACGGCGTCGTCCCACATACTTGGGAGTGGTGATCGCGTTCAGCAGCGTGATGATCGACGGAACGTACACCGCTCCCCAGAACGGCAGGTCCACCTCCGGAACCAACACCGACGCCGGAATCACTACGCAGTAGAATGTAAACGTCACAATGTGGGCCACGATCTTCCGCACGAAGAAGAACGCGTAGATCATGTGCAGCCTCTTCCACAGCCGCAGGTTCTGGTTCTTCAGGATCGTGAACAGCACCTTCCGGAACAGGTTCGCCGGCCCGCACGACCACCTGTGCTGCTGGAACCGGAACGCCTTGAACGTGCTCGGCAGCTCGTTCTTCACCTCCAGGTCGTGAATGTACACAAACTTCCACCCGCACAGACTGGCGCGCACCGCCAGGTCCATGTCCTCCACCGTTGTGCGATCGTTCCACCCTCCTGCTTCCTCCATGGCGCGGATTCTCCACACACCCGCGGTGCCGTTGAACCCGAAGAAACCGTACGTCGCGGACCCCACCCTCTGCTCCACCGAGAAGTGGTAGTTCAGAGACACCTCTTGCATCTTCGTCATCAAGCACTCATTCGCGTTCACTGCGCACAACCACCATCACACCACCATCAAAATCACCGCCACACCATCAACTCAGCGCACCCGTCACCCCGCACATTCGCTACCTATCAACCGTCACAGACTGCGAATCGGCCATTTCGAAGTGGCTCGATACACATGGGTCGAGTCCAGCAACAAAGACGGGCACCCAAGAGTTGCAGCGAGAAGAAGAGCAAAGAATTCGAAATGATCACGGTCGGACTCATCGACCACTCAACAGCTGGAATTGCACCGACTTTTCGCCTTTGCAGTTTACAGAAACCCCCTGTTGCACTTGCGAATCTGGATGAAAAGGAATAAACACTGCGCAATTACAATCATAGACCGAATGTTGACATTGTAACGAATGTGCGCAAATAAAAAATGAAGCAATTTTTTGGACGGACCCTCCACGCACCCGCCAGACCGAATTTGTGAAAACTTCAGGAACCGTATGTCACCCATTCGATTATCCCTCCAATTCCTTCGTGAGCGAAATATAATTCGAATTCAGGGTATGCTTGTAGAACAATGATAACCCTCACTATCGAATATGTTGGCGGAATCGGGATGGCAACTGTAATCTAACAAATACCCATCCAGTGGCGAATGATACTAGATTTGTACACTGAACGGCTGCGCCTCAGCAAGAGGTGATAAACCCAAGACTTAAGACACAAACTTTTCAAAAGCTGCGAATGGCAAATCCAGAAGAAACCAAATTACCACCAATAGAAGTCCCTCATAAATGAATGAACTGCGATATTCCTACGAAAGCTCAGATAGAAAGTCAAATGCCAACGTCAAACAGTACAACACCTACGTTCAACAAAATAACGAACTAATCCCTGGACTGCGAATCATTTGACGTGACAGAATTGGCTATTACTACAAACATGTCGGTTGCATAGTGAGACTTAGGTCACGATACCCACGCCCCACTAATGTTATAGTGAATTTAGCCAGGTCTACATATACAAATCAGAATACGGACATCTATAAACCAGATTAACTTTAACGCGCTGTAACATTTCCAACAAGACCAAGCGAAATTCATTCCCACAAACCACAAAAGCAAAATAAAACCAGAGCTCACAAAAACAATATGACTAAAATAACAAGGGAAGTTGCTACACGAATAATACAACAATCAAAGACATAACAAGTTCGGCAGGTTACCAAATTTCCATCGAGCTTGTACAAGTGCCAGATTCGAATTGTGCACCAGAAACGGCACTGTGCGCTGCAAAAACTCCGGCTCCGGCTGGAAGTCCGCGTCGAAGATCGCCACGTAGTCGCAAGTCTGCACATACGGATGCCTCATCCCCTGACGTAATGCCCCCGCCTTATATCCCTTCCGGTTCGGTCGTGTCTCGTACTTTATGTTGATCCCCTTGCTCGCCCACCGCTGCACTTCTACTTGCACCAGCTCCTGGACCACACACACACACATACACTCAGAAAACCCTCCCGTGCCTTCACGCACTGCAAACAATCCCTCCCCACTTTCACCTTCACCCACCCTCCTACCACCCCACCAAATACACTCAGCTCTAGCACAAGTTCCTCTACCCTGGTAGTCTGATCCGTCGAGTCGTCCAGCACTTGAATGATCATCCGGTCCTGCGGCCACGACAGCCCGCACGCCGCCTGTATCGACAGTTGGTACACCTGTCACGCACCACCATCTCACCATTGTCAGCTCCTCCTCCACCATCACCACCACCACCCTCCCCAAAAGTCACATCCCACACAGCATCCTGCATCCCGCATTCCCTACCTCTCGCTCGTTGAACATCGGGATCTGCACCAGAACCATCGGGTACGACGAATTCCCGAACTCCAAATCATCCTGGATCGCCTCGAACTTGAACTGCGTCTCCGGAGTCCGCCTCAACAGCTTCACGAATACCATCACCCCGCACATGAATATCCGCTCGACGAACAGCATCGTCACCATCACCAGGCACACGTTGATCGCGAATTGCAGCACCGGAGCCACCACCGGCCCCCGAACCTCCAGCCATATCTTCACCAGCTGATCCACCAACATCGGCAATCCCCCCGTGCTCCCGCTCTCCGCCATCGCGACTCACACCGCTCGCTCTCGCCGCACCCACACCCCCACCCGCACCGTCCCCAATCTCACCGCCTCGGCCTAGCTGCGACTCATCACCATCCGCGATGCCAATGCACGCCTGCCGATGACCCTCAGCCTAGCTCAGCCCACTCGTCATCTCCTCCGCTTCATGTGACCAATCCGCATGTCCTGCGAATCCCTCTACCTTCTCTTCTCACCCCGGACTGCCCACCCCACCTCAACCTCCACCGCCACCTCGCACACTCGCGCACTCGAGACCTCTCAGCACTTCGCACCGTGCAGCGCACACCTCGCAGCTGCCCGTCCCTCGCCCTCGACACGCTCGTCGACCACAATGAGCGATGCTCCACGGCACTGATAGACGAGGTAATAAGCAGCGCCCAGGGGTCAATGCGTGGTGGGGCCGGGCCTCATATAATTATACGCTTGTATCATTCATGCAAGCCTTGCAAAGCAGCAGCGAGGGTGGGGACGATCGATGGACGGAGCGGCGACGGGCACGACCCGGACCCACTCATAATGCGGCATGCCTGGCTCGGCCTGGCCTGCTGCTGCTGCTGCTGTGGTGGTGCTGCATTATTTGGAGGCGCTTCCGACTTCCCAGGGAACCAAAGCCAAAGCCAAAGCGAGCGACGATGGGACAAGGGGGGGGATTGCGTGGGCGCCGCGGTCAAACGCGCTTCAGCGCTGCTAACTGCCCAGGTTTACGACCTCTCTCGGCCTCCCTCCCTCTTGTTCCAATCATTCATGCCTGCCCCCCGTTCTGCCCGTCCACCGGGGCGCTGCACACCGGCCGTCGCGGTCTGCCCGGGATTGGAGCATGGACAGGTCGTGTCTGTGGGTGCTGAGGCGAGGGAGGGCTTTGGTTGAAGCAACTGGAAACGATGCTGCCTCCCATGGTGGTGGGGCCCGCCACGTCCACGCTGGGCCTTCCTTCGTGTCTCCACTTTGATATTCTGCGGAGGTGCTGCTGCTGCTGCGAGTCTCACGGGCTGTTGGTTCCAGTTCCAGTTCCAGTTCCAATTCCAGTTCCGTGGTGTGCCTCTGTGTCAAGACGCGGGGTCGGTGTTGGGTGCAGCCAGTCCCGTTGGACGAGCACTGCCCTGGTTCCGTCAAACTGTGAAGTGGGCTTTGACAACCAAGCGGGTGAGACTCGGTCTGCTTCAGGACCATTGGAACAGCACACGACCCTGCGAGTGGATTTTGAGCATGGTGCACGAGTTTTGGTGTTAATATTTTTCAAAGATACTATAGCATTAAATAAAGTAGAAGCTTTAGTGGTGGAAAGGTATAATAAATCTAAGGCATTGCAATTCCCTACTTAATTACATTAATCAAGTCTAAAATTCAATTAGTTAGACAAAAGTCAAAAATGAAAAGAAATTAGTTTTTTCTTTGCATTTGTGATATAGATATTATTTTTTTTGTATAAACAGAATAAGTGTACAAAATCAAGGCATTATGCATAAATTATACTATTTTTTAAAAATATGCATTAGAATACATAGAAGTTTTTGATAATAATTTAACAAAATAAAATTTCTAAAAGAAATTCTACCATATCAAAGACTTCATTGAAAAGGTATAATAAATCTAAGGCATTATAATATTTAGCATAAAGCTTCAATCAACATCCCCCATTACTTAAATCAAAAAGAGTTAGTAGAGTTGCAAAAGGAAAATAAAAATAAATAAAATATAAATTACCATATAAAAGATGTGTAGAACCAAGGAAATATTTCTTCAAAGCCTACATACTAATTGTTAATTAAAAAAATATAAAAGTTAAAATTTAAATCAAATATTGAGAATTGAACAAAATTGCCATCAAGATCAATTATATAATAGTTAGAATAGGTGACTTCTTGGATCAATAGAGTAGAAGAAAATATTTTACCCAAATTTCTTAATTCTATATATTACCAAAAAAAAAAAAAAAAAAAAAAAAAATAGCAGTAGGAGGTGTTAAAAACATGACATGTTTTAAAAGTTTTTAATGATGGATTTTTTTTTTTTTTTTTTTTTTTTTTTTTTCTTTAATGTGCTAGCTATCTCTACTATTTTTATTAACAAAGCATTTTACCAAAGATTTATGAGTATGTGGTGATTTGTTATGATGGCATCTAAGTCTTCTTAAGGAATACTGAAGGTTTTTTTTTAAAAAAAATTACAAGTAAAAATACATACCAATTAATCTAACTTAAGATTTTTATAACTTTTCTTATATTAAAAGTAATACGTGAGTATAAATTCTAATGTTTTATAATTAGATTGTCAATTTATAAAAATAAGAAATAAAATATAATTATTGTTATGGTTAATAGGTTTAACATGAAAACATGATTTATTCAAACAAAGATAAAAATATGATAAATTTTATCACAATAGTTTTCTTTGATTAGTAAATTTCTCTCTATAAAATACTTTAAAATATATTAAATAAAAAAGACTTATTATTTTACATAATGTTTTAGCATGTAATGCAAAAAAAAAGAACTAGAGTTATAATGAATGCCACTTAGCACTTTAAAAGGTGGTTGTTAATAAAACGAATTTATTTATTTATCAATTATTATTTGATTAAATAAGTAAAAAAGATAAAATAATATTAAAAAAATAACAACTAGAGTTTTTATAATGAGTGAAGAGGGTCTACAGCATCTGAATGTTGAAAACAAAATAGAAGGTTAGACAACCAAAAGGTGGATGTTGGTAAGAAAAAATCAAAAAAATCAAAGTTAAAAATAAGACCTATAATATTTTAAAGAAATGATTAATAATTTTAATTATTTTTCTCTATTATTAGTTATTTAGATGTTTTAAAAAGATAGAAATTTATTTAAGAAAAGATAACTTTTAGTCTCAAAACAAAAGTCATAAGTTAGAATAGCATCTAAGGTGAATAAGTAAAATATCACCTATAATCTCAAAAAATTATAAAGGCCTAATAATAAGCAATGATTTTACAAAAAAAAAAAAAAAAAAAAAAAAAACACACACACACTAAAAAAATAAAAGGACAATAAAGACTTTGAGACTTCAAAGTAAATATGTACATATGTAATTTTTAGTTTTTCAAATGTCATTTCAAAATGATAATCTATATACTTAAGAGCCACCTAAAAATAGGAGCTAAGGCCATAACCTCTTGTAACACAAATAATGTGTTACAATTTAGTTGGATTCCAACCTATGGCATGAGTGATTTATCCATGGCAAGTATTATGAGCTATGGCACAAAGTATCCATCAACACAACATTTTAAAATCTACTCTTGTGAGTGTTTTTGGAAGATAGAGCTCATGGGTATAAAATTTTGCTTCGCTATGGTAATTTAGCAATTGAGTAAAGTTTAGGCTATGCACTTGTACTCTTGGATTCTTCCTTTGTGGTGTGAGAGATAGCTTGACTAAGTTGACTTCAGATTATTTTTTTATCTTTTCTTGAAAAAGTGTTGCTTGTGCATTCTTATTTGGTCCTTATTACATATTTCATTATTACATATTTCATGATGATTTTTGGTACTTAATCTATTGTATATGACAATTTTTATTTAGACAACAATCATATCTTAAAAACACAAATATATGAAATACAATGAGTGCTTGACACTTAAATATGTGGAACACATTGCATGTTTAATGTTGTAAGAGATTTAATATATGCAATATAGATTACAATTTGGAATACTTAGAAGCAAACAACTTCCTTCTAGAATTTCTAGATGAGAAAAAGTCTAACACTTGCTTCAAAAACAATACTAAGATCATGGTCAAGTGCTTGCAACTTAAGGTCTATTTTTCTTGTTTACTAAGTGAGGGCAATGCTGTGTGGAGACTCCATATAGTAAGAGGAGGCTGGGCAGTCAAAACCCAAGTCTAAGGCTTGGGTTTGAGGGTCTTCATGGCTGCATTCATTTTTCTTCACCATGTGTAGAGGTTGCGTTTGGCTGGAAGTATTATTGGAGGATGATCTAGAATAGTATTAAATCTTAATTCACCTATGAATGCCAATGGTATTTTCAATAGAAACATGTATAAGTTGAGACATATTAGTAACAAATGGACTGTTGATCCAACCAAGGCTGGCCTTATTGACCTGCACACTCTTGCTCTGTGTTTATCACTGGGACATGTGGAATCTGGTCCATGGATGGAGAGATAGAGATTGATGATTGTTTGTGCTTGTGGCCAAGCAATAGTGTATTTCATAAAATAGAGTGGAAAGTGATTCTCTCCCTCTTCGAAATAAGCATAGATGGCAAAGTATAATAGCTCGAGATACTACAATATTTTTTGTCTCTGGTTCACAAATAGCTTGTGAATTTCTCTAGACTCCTACTTGTTTGGAAGGGAAGGTTAACTTCATAATTTCAATTCTTTTAAATTCAATTTTGAAAGAGTTGCTGAATTTCAATACAAAGTTTTTTTTTTTTTTTTTTTTTTTTTTTTTCTTCATTTTTGTGCGAGTTTTGTTTACATGGCAGGTATTCCCTAAAAGAAGACAAACTTAATATTGATCACACTCTATTATTAATATTTTGATTACTTGATATCTTTTTAATAAAATGTCAATTCTATTTTCTGTTACAAAATATGACCTAATCTTTGCAATACCTACAAAAACATGGAATGGAATACTTTTTTGAAATGTCAATCATTTTTCTCCCCTCTCATTTCATTTCCTAAAAGGATAGTCCAGGGGCTTTAATGTTAAGGGAACTCACTCAGCCCACAGTTTTCTACATAATTTCTTGGCTAAATAGTACTATTGTTTACAATATTGCTGGGTTTTATTTGATGGACACTTTCCATTTCTGTCTTTTTATCCTTGTTCAAACCATTTTGTGAACCCAGCCTCTCTTTTCCATTCTCTTTTCCCATTTGAAGAGCCCTTGTATTTCATTAAATCATGCATATTCCACGTGTATTCAGCTAAAAAATTATTCATTTTATGCACATTTTATATTGGGACTTGAAACAGTTTCCAGAGCAACCCACTTTCTCTCTCTATTATTATTATTTAAATTACTTGATGTATGGAAAACTTAAGCTGGCTTAATTCATGGGTGGTTAAATAAAAGAGCTTGGAGTTAGGCTTTGCCATGAAGCTTGTGTTGGTCTAACTTTTCTATTAAGTCTAAATTGTTGCACAATAAAGTGTTCAAGCAAAATAGATTACATGAGTGGAAGAAAATAAAGCCTTGTTTTTGAAGACAAAGAAGAAACATAATAGTCATGTAATTAATGGCCTTCCTTGAATTAGGTACACAAAAAACTTGTATTCTTTTTAAAAACACAATAACTTTTCTTTCAAATTACAAAATTAGGCATTTTTTTTTTGTGGTTTTATCTTTGGCCTTTAACATCCTCCTTCTTCTACTGCATCTACTACTTAATTTTTTGCAATTACAAAGATTGAAAAGCATGAATATCTTATTAGATCAAGACAAAGTCTATTTAAATGGGAAAAAAACTTAGTAAAGTGCTAGATCTGATGAATGGAAGTAAGGTTGAATTTTAGCTCTAAATATCTCTAATCTATATAT